TAATTGCATATGGACGAATTGTTTATTTATACCTTTGGGTATTGATTGTCATTGTGCAAGCTGAGTAATTATATAGCAAGTTTTCTTGTATTAATTGTGCAAAGATGTAAAATAATTACACAAACTGTGTAATAATTTTTGTGATAATAGTGCATTTATGCAAGTTGTGTTTTTAATATGTTGAAGTGTAATTGGTGAAACTGTATTTGTGTGTGAAAATTGTGTATTTTGTGTAAGCTCTGTAATTTGATAAAATAGATCTTTATGGTGTAAGTGTATTTTGGTTTATGAGACAATGTGTGGGTATTTTGTGAAAATTACGTTTGTGAAATTGTGTAATTTTAGTTAAAGTGCATTTTTTATTGTCTAAATGCATAAGCATTTTGATATATTTGTGCAAAATACCGTACTTTGTGTAAATGTCATACTCTGAGTGTACATGCAATATTGTGTAAATGGTATATTTTTGTTTGCAACTGACATATTTTGTATGAAAATCTCATATTTTTTTATGTGATGGTATATTTTGAGTGTAAATAATATATTTTATGCATAAATGGCATATTTGGTGTGTAAATGCTGTATTTTCTGTGTGTATGGCATAAATTACATCTGATTAGTGGGGAAATGGTGGCAAAAAACTAGGCTATTCTCTATGAATGCATAGGTTTTGAAGTATGTGTAGGTATGTATGATTGTATTTGCGAGTGTTGGTTTAGAAACAAGTTAGCTGATTTGCGTAGCAAGACTAGGATTTTTTGAGGTGTAGAAATGATTAGCCTATGAATATAGTGGCTAACATCCGGCTGAGTTGCTAGATGGATGAATTGAGGTGCGACATTTGGATATCTATTTGATGGATTTGAGGACAGTTGACTAGCCTATGAACACAGCCACTAATCCCCTGTACTGCCAGATGTGTGGTAACTACTTGTGGATTATAGTAGAATATCTAGCTATAGGGTTTCATAATTGCTGTTGTGTATAAAACTAGAATAAGAGCTATTTATTAAAACTATTATTGTAAACTAATACTTTAAGTGGGATCCCTTGGTTGTTTTAAGCATAGGGTGGACATGAATGAGATTGGGTGGAAATATATAGGAGCTGCCTCGTATGGGCCAATAGGACCTCTGCAGTTACCTTTATTCTTATGTTCAGCTCACCTGCTATGCTGCCAGATGTACGATTCTGCTTAAATTGCAGTACGACATTTGGGCTTCTGTTATACTTTTGAACTTATCACTGAATAATGATTACAGTTGTGGATGACTAAAATGTATATTCTTAGTCCTCTGATTAGGTTAGGTGGGGATGGTTAGTCTAGTCATTTTTGAATAATAACATTAAATACACATGCCAGTAGGACGCCAAAGGTAGCATTGGTTGTCTGGTGACGTCATACATAGTTGACCAGTAAGGTACTGTAATACCAGGGTCACTACCGAACTCGCATTGAAATCACCAATGCCCAGGGCTCTGTTTTTTCATATAAACGACTGATAGCAGTTTTTTTCATTTTATTTTTTGCCCTATGCATAATAAACGATCCTTCAAGAAAGATTGTCCAAGCTCAAAGCTCAAATTACATTCTCTAGAACGACGATGATGAAGAAGAAATAGGGGTGACATGATAGACGTGTGACTGAATGGTCATAGTAAAGGGGAATATTAATGACCCATTATACGTATCAACATGAAACAGAACAGTAATGAATTGGATAAGTTATATATTTAGGAAAAAGACCTGGGTGAATATAGGTAACAGGGGAAGAACTCGAAAAATACACAAATAACTTCTTGCAGTGCTGCTCCCCTTTTGTTTCATGCAATGACCGATGGTTGGGAGTAAATAGGAAATTTAAAATAGTCTAGGGTTGATGGTATTTTACATTAGGTTTCAGGGTTACTGTTTTTTGCCCTATGCATAATAAACGATCCTTCAAGAAAGATTGTCATAGCTCAAATTACATTCTCTAGAACGACGACGAAGAAGAAGAAATAGGGGTGACATGATAGAGGTGTGACTGAATGGTCATACTAATGGGGAATATTTATAACCTATTATACGTATCAACATGAAACAGAATAGGAATGAATTGGATAAGTTTTATATTTAGGAAAAGACCTGGGTAAATACAGGCAGCAGGGGACGAACTTGAAAATACACACATAACTTCTTGCAGTGCTGAAGTTATGTTCTTCCCTCACATACATGATCCCCTTTGATAAATGTAATGGGCGATGGTTGGAAGTAAATATGAAATTAAAAATAGACTAGGGATAATGGTATTTTATATTAGGTTTCAAGGATACTGTTGTATCGCAAAACCCATGATGCTACGACCGGCTTTTTAATCTCCTCGAACATGCCGGTGCAGGAATGCTGAGCGGCTACCTGGTGACGTCATTGACCATTAGCAATGTCTGTGCAGGGTCACTGAGCCAACGAAATTTGGGGATGCCAGGGGCTGGCTTTTTAATTCCTAGGAACAAAAAACTATGATGCTACGACCGGCATAGGAACAAAAAACTATGATGCTACGACCGGCATAGGAACAAAAAACTATGATGCTACGACCGGCATAGGAACAAAAAAATTCACAAAAACCCATGATGCTACGACCGGCTTTTTAATCCCCTCGAACATGCCGGTGCAGGAATGCTGAGCGGCTAGCTGGTGACGTCATTGACCATTAGCAATGTCTGTGCAGGGTCACTGAGCCAACGAAATTTGGGGATGCCAGGGACCGGCTTTTTAATCCCTAGGAACAAAAAACTATGATGCTACGACCGGCATAGGAACAAAAAACTATGATGCTACGACCGGCATAGGAACAAAAAAATTCAGAAAAACCCCTGAAGCTACGACCGGCATAGGAAAAAAAAAACAGGAAAAACCCCAGATGCTACGACCGACATAGGAAAAAAAAACAGGAAAAACCCCAGATGCTACGACCGACATAGGGAAAAAACAGGAAAAACCCCCTACACCTACGACCGGCTTTGGAAAAAATGAAAAAAGCCGGTCGTAGTAATCAAAAACCCCTGACGCCTACGACAGGCTTTGGAAAAAATGAAAATAGCTGGTCGTAGGCGTCAAAAACCCATGACGCCTACGACAGGCTTAGGAAAAAATGAAAATCGCACGTCGTAGGCGTCAATCCCACTACTCCCATCAACACTGGCCCCGTCAATAATATCCCCGTCAACAATGGCCCCGTCAACACTGGCCCCGTCAACAATATCCACGTCAACAATTGCCCCGTCAACACTGGCCCCCGCCAACAATGGCCCCGTCAACAATGGCCCATTTAACACTGGGCCCGTCAACAATAGCTCCGTCAACACTATCCCCGACAACAATAGCCCCGTCAACAATGGGCCCAGTCAACACTGGCCCCATCAACACTGGCCCCGTCAGTACTGGCCCTGTCAACAATGGCCCCGTTAACAATGGCCCCGTCAACAATGGGCCCCGTCAACACTGGGCCCCATCAAAACTGGCCCCGTCAACACTGACCCCGTCAACAATGGCCCTGTCAACACTGGCCCCATCAATGGCCACGACAAAATTGGCCCCGTCAAACAATGACCCATTCAACACTGGCCCCGTTAACACTGGCCCCGCCAATAATGGCCCCATCAACACTGGCACCGTCAACAATATCCCCGTCAACACTGACCCCGTCAATAATGGCCCCTTCAACGATGGGCCCCGTTAGTACTGGGCCCGTCAACACTGGCCCCGTCAACAATGGCCCCGTTAACAATGGCCCCATCAACACTGGCCCTTCAACAATGGCCTTGTCAACAATGGCCCCGTCAACATTGGCCCCGTCAACCTTGGCCCTGTCAACATTGACTGCTTCAATAATGGCACCGTCAACAATGGTCCATTGAACACTTACCCCGTTAACACTGGCCTCCGCCAACTATGGCCCCATCAACAATGGCCCCGTCAACAATAGCCCTTTATCAATGACCTTGTCAACAATGGCCCCGTCAACACTGGCCCTGTCAACATTGGCCCCGTCAACAATGGCCCATTCAACACTGGCCCCGTCAACAACAGCTCCGTCAACACTAGCCCCGTCAACAATAGGCATGTCAACAATGGGCCCAGTCAACACTGGCCCCGTCAACACTGGTCCCCTTCAGTACTGGCCCTGTCAACAATGGCCCCGTTAACAATGACCCCGTCAACAATGGCCCCGTCAACAATGGCCCTTCATCACTGGCTCCGTCAACAATGGCCCCATCAACAATGGTTCCGTCAACACAGGCCCCGTCAACAATGGCCGCGTCAACACTGTCCTCATCAACAATGGCTCCATCAACAATCGCCCCGTCAACAATGGCCATGTCAACAATGGTCCCGTCAACAATGGCCCTTCATCACTGGCTCCGTCAACAATGGCCCCATCAACAATGGTTCCGTCAACACAGACCCCGTCAACAATGGCCGCGTCAACACTGTCCTCGTCAACCATGGCTCCATCAATAATCGCCCCGTCAACAATGGCCATGTCAACAATGGTCCCGTCAACAATGACCCTTCACCAATGGCCCCGTCAACAATGGCCCCGTCAACACTGGCCCCGTCAACATTGGCCCCGTCAACAATGGCCCCTTCAACACTGGCCCCGTCAACACTCGCCCCGTCAACAATGGGCCCAGACAACACTGGCCCCGTCAACACTGGTCCCCGTCAGTACTGGCCCTGTTAACATTGGCCCCGTTAACAATAGCCCCGTCAACAATGGCCCCGTCAACACAGGCCCCGTCAGCAACGGCCTCATCAGCAATGGTTCCGTCAACACAGGCCCCGTCAACTCTGGTCTTGTCAACAATGGCTCCATCAACAATGGCCCCGTCAACAATGGCCATGTCAACAATGGCCCCGTCAACAATGGCCCGACAACACTGGCCCTTCAACAATGGCCCCGTCAACACTGGCCCCGTCAACACTGGCCCCGTCAACACTGGCCCCGTCAACAATGGCCCTTCAACAAGACCCCGTATACACTGGCCCCGTCAACACTGGCCCCGTCAACACTGGCCCCGTCAACAATGGCCCCGTCAAGTTTGGCCCAGTCAACACTGGCCCCGTCAACACTTACTACGTCAACAATGGCCCCGTCAAATCTGGCGCCGTCAACATTGACCCAGTAAACACTGGCCCTGTCAAGAATGGCTCCATCAACAATTGCCTCGTTAACAACAGCCCCGTCAACACTGGCCCTTCAACAATGGCCCCGTCAACAATTGCCCCGTCAGCAATGGCCCCGTCAACAATGGCCCCATCAACACTGGCCCCGTCAACAATGGCCCCGTCAACACTGGCCCCGTCAACAATGGCCCCGTCAACAAGGGCCCCTTTAACACTGGCCCCGTCAACACTATCCCCGTCCACAATGGGCCCCTTCAACACTGGCCCCGTCAACACTGACCCGGTCAACAATGGCCCCGTCGACACTGGCACCATCAATGGCCACGAGAACATTGGCCACGTCAAACAATGGCCCATTCAGCAATGGCCCAGTTAACACTGGCCCCGCCAACAATGGCCCCATCAACACTGGCCCCGTCAACAATGGCCCCATCAACACTGGCCCATCAACAAAGGCCTTGTCAACAATGACCCCGCTAACAATGGCCCCGTCAACACTGGCCCCATCAAAAATGGCCCCGTCAACACTGGCCCCATCAACACTGGCCCCTTCAACACTGGCCCCATGAAAAATGGCCCTGTCAGCACTGGCCTCGTCAACAATGGCCCCGTCAACACTGTCCCTGACAACAATGGGCCCCGTCAGCACTGGCCCCATCAATGGCCCCGTCAACACTGGCCCTGTCAACGATGGCCCCCGTCAGCACTGGCCCCATCAACAATGGTCCCGTCAACAGTGATCCCGTCAACACTGGCCTCGTCAACAATGGCTCCATCAACAATGGCCCTGTTAACATTGGCCCCGTCAACAATGGCCATGTCAACAAATGCCCCGTCAACAATGGCTCCATCAACAATGGTCCTGTTAACATTGGCCCCGACAATAATTGCTATGTCAACAATGGCCCTGTCAACAATGGCATTTCAACAATGTCCCCGTCAACAATGACCCCGTCAACACTGGCCCTTCAACAATAGCCCCGTGAACACTGGCCCTGTCAATAATGATCCCGTATACACTGGCTCCGTCAACACTGGCTCTATCAACAATGGCCCCGTCAACACTGCCCCCGTCAACAATGGCCCCGTCAACACTGGCCCCGTCAACACTGGTCTCGTCAACAATGGCCCTGTTAACAATGGCCCCGCCAACAATGGCCCCCTCAACAATGGCCTCGTCAACACTGGCCTCGTCAACAATGGCTCCGTCAACACTGGCCCCGTCAACACTGGCACTATCAACACTGGCCCTGTCAACAATGACCCCATGAACACTTTTGCTCTATTAGTCTCCATCTTTATACCCTGCCAACACTGCCACTTAAACTTGGACAATTCTTCTTGAAAATTTTGGATCACAAACCAGATTCCCTGCTGACAATTTGGCTCAATAATATAGTCACTCTTGCTAAGATTTAAGGCCTGGCCGACGACTGTTCTGCGGGGACGCTAAACCTCGAAAATACCTCAAGGTAAGGTAAGCTAATGCCTTTATGGTGCCTATTTCTCCCCCTAGTTCTGTCGTTAACCAAATGCTCCGTTCAAGTTTCGTAATAATTCTCTTATCTTATGGTTAAAAAAATAGGCTGTGCTCGTGAAGTGTTTTGTACCAAGTGTCTGTCACACAGCTGTTGTAGTACACCTAGGGTCTGTCTCACAGCTGTTGTAGCACACCTAGGGTCTGTCACCCGGCTGTTGTAGCACACCTAGGGTCTGTCACACAGCTGTTGTAGCACACCTAGGGTCTGTCACACAGCTGTTGTAGTACACCTAGGGTCTGTCACACAGCTGTTGTAGCACACCTAGGGTCTGTCACACGGCTGTTGTAGCACACCTAGGGTCTGTCATGCAGCTGTTGTATCACACGTATGGTCTGTCACATGGCTGTTGTAGCACACGTAGGGTCTATCAGACGGCTGTTGTAGAACACCTAGGTTCTGTCATGCAGCTGTTGTAGCACATGTAAGGTCTGTCACACGGCTGTTGTAGCACACTTGGTGACTAAGAGCCATCTGAGGATGACTCCCTCAGACACTCCGCAATGGACGTCACACTACAGAGACATCCACTGGAAAACAGTTACAACTTCACATGATTCATGCAGCTTTCTTCGGTGCTCGCTTGAAGACTTGATGTCATCCCCGAACGCAGTCAATCACTTGGTGTCTCTTTGGTTCACACACACTCGGAAATCTCGTCATCCACTTCTTGGGCGATTTTGACCTAATGAGAGGTCTAGCATCACCGGCTGTCATAGCTGCCTCGTCGCACTCCTTACGTTGCAAAGCTCCGATGATTACCGACTGTTGGGACCAGGTCCAGTGGTCCCTAACAACGTTGGACGTCACCAATGTGAGATTCTCTTTGTGTCGGACTAACGGACACTTACATCAGAACATCTGAATGAAGGTAACTGCAGAAGGCCTATTGGCCAATACGGTGCAGCTCGTATTTATATCCATCCAAACTTCATCAATTTGGTAAAATAAGACCAGTAGAAGCTGAGTTTAGAATGACAGAATGCTGCTTCATAGGATTCACATGAGTGAGTGACATACTTGGGCAAATCGTAGCTCCCTGAAAGTTGATTTGAGTGTGCCACACACAGATTGCCTGCTATGCACAGCCTCTTGAGCCGTTACTATAAACAATGACCAATACTTCAGGAAGTTCTAACGTCACTTTTCGTTAGCGGGAATAGTGTCCTCGTGTCCTGGTTCCTTCCAATCCCGCATGAAACACAAATGTCTTCTGCAATGCCAAAATCTCAATCACGCTGATCCTACCTATGTTCATCTTGGTTTATTATAAGAGCAAGAGCAAATAAAGGAATAAAATAGGGTACAGCTCGAGAACAACTCAGAGTATGGCTGGATCACACGATAGGCTGCGGGTGGCATCATCATACTAGGTAACATTGGTAGCTTCACACTTATTACACTAGTGTCTGAACAACCTAATATTCTCGTCAACCTCATACAACTGCAATGAAAATGCCCAGAAACAGCTATGATCCTGATAAAATGTGACACGTAAAATCCCACACACTCTGAACGTTTCATGAACTTCAGGTGTTCTTATGTAGGGATCAAACTGCCTCTCAAACTTTTAAACACACCTATGCTTCGTTTTCACACACAATTATACGATACTTAAAATAAAAACATAATCAAAATGTCTAAATTCAACACATTCCCCTGGATCTAAACAAAATATGGGTCATTTATTTCTAACTACATTTGAAGATTTAGCATTACTATAATTATTTAACATTGTAATAACCTCGTGAAATCAATTTCGCATTATGGTATGCATTATATTTTATGCATTGCATCCTCTAATTATAAATGTTTATATATCTTATGTTAACTGTTTCAATACATTCTTTATATACAAGTGTAATACATATTTTTACTATTTAAAGTATATTAATAAAGCTGAGGACGTGATTAGTTTGGTGTTGTTTGTCTTACCAACGGTAGGAGGGTTATTAATGGCAATATCTGTTATGTTAATATCTTAATATAATATTAAACATATCCTTAGTACCAACATTGTTAAACCATTAATGCATTTGCATATTTACAGTATTTTTGGCTAAGAATGTGTTACATTCATATTACAACACATTATCCGTCATGTATAATACTTAGCCTAATTTTAATACTTATGGCCTAAATATTTTTGTGTTATGCTAACTCCATAACAGCAGTCTGTTGGGACATTCTAAGTAAGTATGCATGACAATTTTTTTCTTAACAATAATGTATTTAAACAATTATTGTATTGTTTCCGAGACAAATAAAATTCTGAATAAGAATTTGAATAAACGAAATATAGAAAATGAAATACCTTTTCGTGAGTAATCTTGGGCAATCATCGTATCCACCAGACTATTTCCTAAAATAAGGATGTGGTGACCGTTCCTTATAAGCGTATTGAAGCTTTCTGACATCTCCTGCAGAGTGATGTATTGAATGCGATTTATTTTTTCCAAATCTGCGATGTCTCTCAGTATTCCCGTCCTTGCTGTCTAGAGGAAAGAAAACAGATGCAGACACACACACATCATATATAATATATTTCCGGCAGTGCCTGGGTCTCTGTCCGTTTCTTTCACTTCTTTCCTTTCATTCATCCATTCTTCCTCCCTCATATCCATTCTGCTTCCCTCCGATTCTCTCTTCCTCCTATTCTTCCTGTCTCCTTCCAATTTTCCCATTCTGCCTTCCATTCGCTCTCTCCTTATCCCTCGTTTTCCCTTCCAGTGGGCAAAACATTCTCGAAAAATTTTGAATCAACATTATCGATGATGAATCGCCATTAATTAAATGAATATTATCGATGTGGAATCGACATTAAATCAATGTTATCGATGATAAGGCGAAATTAAATCAATGTTATTGATGTTGAATCGTCGTTGCGTCAATGTTATCAACGTTGAATCATCGTTGCGTTAATGTTATCGAAGTTGATTCAACATATCAATGTTGCATCAATGTATGGTGTCGTAAAGGCTTCTCCTAATGATGTTGACTTCACTGTGCCTCGAAGCCCCTCTGCTTTTGCGAAAAATCAAATCCTTCTCCGCAAGGAGAAGGCTGTACCTCTCAGTTACCACCTCGTCACAAATACAGCTACATTTAGTGTCGATTGGGGGAGCAAGGAAGGGCGCCACTGCATTTGGAAGGGCCTGTGGTGTGAATTGTGAGCCGGTTGCCGACAATGAGAAAAGCTATTGGAGTCATGTGGAAGATTCGAACCTGAAAAATGGGTATTCCCAGCACACAGCTAAAAGTACCTAACCACAATGCGCTGTAAGTAATTTATCCTGGGATTCAAGCAAATCCTTAAGGGGGTCTCGAAGCATTGACCTGATACAAAATCAAGTATATATACATTACTCACGTACATTCTGGTGTGGTATAGCAGTTCTACCTTCCAGCGCTCCCTTCAAATGCACAAAGTAAATTTGATTTGGTATGTGCTCAATGCCTGTTAAAAGTACAATTTAATCCCCCTTAAAAATGTTCTGGGATTTACATCTCACATTAGGAACAATGTATGATTAAAAAAGCTATCATTCAATGAGTTGACAAACACTTATATTTCGGTGAGTTTGAAAGTATCAGCTTTGATTACTAGGGCTACTGAAAATTTCTTTGAAACAGAAAGATTTGAAGAAAACAAGACATGTTAGCATAGTTCAGATTTATAGACGATATTTTTGGTATCATGGTAGGAGGTAGATAGAGGTTACAAGATTTTTTCATGTGGACAAATACGATCCACAGCAATCTTAAATTCACTCAAGAAGAGCCCGGGCACTTGGGCTGGACGGTAGAGCGACGGTCTCGCTTCATGCAGGTCGGCGTT